CGCCATCCTTGGGGGGAGGGCTGCGAAGTGTGGAATTGTCGCAGCTTCTGAGGGCTGCGGGAGGGGGCCAGCACAGTGGGGTCCCACGTAGACCTCGAGGACCTTGCCATCCCTTGGGGGGGGCTGCGAATTGTGAATTGTCGCAGCTTTGAGGGCTGCTGCTGTGCGCAGCACAGTGGGGTCGCACGCAGATGCGGAGGGGGAGGGGTGGGGGAGGAGGAGAGAGAAGAGGAGGAGGAGGAGGAGGAAGAGGAGGAGGAGAAGGACGAGAAGGAAGCGGAGGAGATGGCGGAGGAGGAGGACGAGGACGAGGACGAGGAGGAGGAGGAGGAGGAGAGGGATGCTGATGATGCTGCTGATGATGATGCTGATGCTGATGATGATGATGATGCTGATGATGTTGATGATGATGATGATGATGATGTTGATGTTGATGGTGGTGGTGGTGGTTGTCGTGGTCGTGGTCGTGATGGTGGTGGTGGTGGTGGTGATGGTGATGGTGGTGATGATGAGGAGGATGACAACGGCGACGACGGCGGCGGTGGCGACGATGATGATGCTGATAATGATGATGATAATGGTGGTGGTGATGATGATGATGCTGATGCTGATATGATGGTGCTGATGTTGTTGATGGTGCCGGCGATGATGATGCTGCTGATGATGATGATGATGATGTTGATGCTGATGATGATGATGATGATGATGGTGGTGGTGATGATGATGCTGATGATGATGATCTTCATCATGATCATGATCATGATGATGATACTTATGATGATTATGATGATGATGTTGATGTTGATGACGCTGATGATGATGCTGATGCTGATGATGATGATGATGCTGATGATGACGATGCTGATGATGATGATGATGATGCTGCTGATGCTGATGCTGATGATGATGAGGATGAGGATGAGGATGAGGATGAGGATGAGGATGAGGATGATGATGATGATGATGATGATGATGATGATGATGATGATGAGATGATGATGATGATGATGATGATGATGATGATGATGATGATGATGATGATGATGATGATGATGATGATGATGATGATGATGATGATGATGATGATGATGATGATGATGATGATGATGATGATGCTGATGATGATGATGATGATGATGATGATGATGATGATGATGATGATGATGATGATGATGATGATGCTGATGATGATGATGATGATGGTGATGGTGATGGTGATGGTGGTGGTGGTGGTGGTGGTGGTGATGGTGATGGTGATGAGGAGGAGGAGGAGGAGGAGGCGGACGAGGAGGAGCAGGACGAGAGGAGAGAGGCGACATAGCTCGCCCTCAGGGGCGCGAACATACATTCAACCCGCATCGTAGGGATCGGCACCCTTCCAAAGGGTACTCTTGCGTCCTTGCGTCCTTGCCTCGTCGGCCCATCCTTGGTCACTTTCGTTGGCAGCCCCCCGCTCGAAAGGCTTCGAAATGGCCTTTCCAAGGCCTTTGCACCCTTATCACGCATCCTTATGAGAATGGTTGACTGTTATCGCGCTCCGCGCGTCGCGGTCTAGGCCAGAAGGGTCGTTTTTTCCCAAGGGTTCGGCGCTTGGGCGCGAGAGGGCGCGAAGATGACCGCGCACCGCGCTTCGAAGGGGCGCCGTGCGCGGAGCTGGCCGACATGGGTGACCGTCGGCGGCGAGCCCAGGGGGGGAGTCTGAGCCTCCTCCTCCTCCTCCTCCTCCTCCTCCTCCTCCTCCTCCTCCTCCTCCTCCGTGGTGGCCAGCTACTCCTCCGCGCTGCTCCAGACGAGACAGGTGGCTTCCTGGATAGGCACCGCGGCGCGGCTCCAGTTCTTGGGCAGCGTGCCTGCGGACCGCGTGGTGCCGCCGCGGAGGCGGAACGCCGAGCTGCGCCGCGCTTGGGGGGCTCGCGTTGCCGTGGGCGCTGTGCCGCCGCCCGCAGACGGGGGCCCTGCGGCACCCCCGCCGCCGCAGGCGCGTGTGGTCAACCGAGATCGGGACACAAGTATTATTGTGATCGCTGTTCCGCATGTGCATTGTCAGCTAGAGGTGCGAGGGCCCTCGGGCTCCGCACTTGTCCTGTAGCCGAGGCGGCGGCCCGATGGGGCCTCGAGGGTACTTCGCCCTGCGGTGCGGCCCCTGAGGGTTCGGTTCCGTCCTGTGGTGTTGGGTCGGTGCCGTCCTGTGGTGCTGGGTCCTCGGGGGATACGCACGCTCAGGAGCCCCTCGATGGCCCTCCTCCCGAGGCCAGGAATGTGTTGGAGGATCTTCAGGAGCCGCCGTCCTTGGATCTTGGGGTCCTTGAGCGGCCTCTGGCCTACAAGAGGGTGAGATTTCAGATGGAGGAGCGGGTGGACGACGATGTTGGGGAGGCCTGCAGGCGGGCCAAGCTTTCTCGGCCCTCGCTCGGTAGCGACATTGGCTGTCGTGCCGATGCTCCCTCGACGCCGTCGCCTGTCCTCCCCCCATCGCCCTTCGCCCTCCGTCGTCGACCCAGGAGGCTGGAAGGAGAAGGACAGTCGTAAGGAGCATCAGGCCCTTGAGGGCCCGCGCCCGAAGGCGCCGCGGTTGGCCCCCCTGGTCTTGGTCAATGAGCCTCCTGCCTCCAGCCGCGCTTGTGGGCCTCCGCCTCACAAGCGCGCGAGGGCCTCGGGATGCCTCGAGCCTCGGGGCTCCTGGGTCGCTCGGGACGCTCCCCCCCGCCCGACTGTCCCCTCCCCGCTCAAGGCCCCGTAGGGCCAGCTTGCGCTCGGGGTCATCACATCGTCCTTGCTGGGGCTACCCTTGCATTCTGTCGTCCGTGCGGTGCCAGGGCCCAGCCGTCGGCCCCGCGCTCGAGGCTTTGGGGGCCGTGCTCGGGTATTGCATCCAGTAAGGACACTACTTTTTAAAGGCCCTCGAGCAGGGCAAAGACCCCATATCTGGTGAGTGGAAGGGACACGCCCGTCCGCTCCTCGCGTCTGACGACGCCACCTTCTGGCTTCGTCTTCGATAATTCGTTTGGCGTTTTGTTTCGATGTTTCGCTTAGCGTTTCATCTCTTTGTTCGTTCGTAGAGCTGCGCTTGCTCTTCTTTTCCATCCGCTCTTCTATATCTTGTGCCTGTCTCGGCGCGCTCGGACTCGAGTTGGCGTGCCTCCTCGTGCTGAAAAACCTGAGCCCTTCCGGAGGCACGGAACAATTCTCAGAGGGCGCGACGGTTTCTGAGAGACCCCGCCGTTTTCTGAGAAGGAGGGACAGAAAGAGGGCAGGAAGGGAGGAGGAGGAGGAGGAATAGCAGGAGGAGGCAAAGGATAATGAGGAAGAGGATCATGAGGAGGAGGATGAGGAGGAGGAGGAGGAGAAGGAGGAGGAGGAGGAGGAGGAGGATAATGAGGAGAAGGATAATGAGGAGGCCGAGGAGGATAAAGAGGAAAACGAGGAGGACAATGAGGAGGACGAGGAGGACGAGGAGGACGAGGAGGAGGAGGAGGAGGAGGAGGTGGAGGAGGAGGAGGGAGGTGGAGGAGGAGGAGGAGGAGGGAGGAGGGGTGACGGGGAGGGGGAAAGGGGAGGGGCGGGGAGAGGGGAGAAGGAGGAGGAAGTGGAGGAGGAGGAGGAGGAGGAGGAGGAGGAGGAGGAGGAGGAGGAGGAGAAGGAGGAGAGGGGAGGGAGGAGGGGAGGAGGAGGAGGGAGGGGGGGGAGGGGAGGGGAAAGGGGAGGGGCGGGAGGGGGGAGAGGAGGAGGAGAGGAGGGAGGAGTGAGGAGGAGGATATGAGGAGGAGGATAATGAGGAGGCGAGAGGTAAAGAGGAAAAAGAGGAGGACAATGAGGAGGACGAGGAGGACGAGGAGGACGAGGAGGAGGAGGAGGACGATGGAGGAGGAGGAGGAGGAGGAAGAGGAGGGGGAGGGAAGGAGGAAGAGGAGGAGGAGGAGGAGGAGGGGGGGGGGACGGGGAGGGGGAAAGGGGAGGGGGAGGGGGAGGGAGAAGGAGGAGAAGAGGAGGAGGAGGAGGAGGAGAAGAAGGAGGGGGCGGAGGAGGGGAAGGAGGAGGAGGAGGAGAAGGAGGAGGAGGAGGCGGAGAGAGGAGGAGGAGGAGGCGGAGGAGGAGGAGGAGGAGGAGGAGACCAGGCACGGGCTCCAGTCCCCGGCGCGACAGAGACAGCTTCCCGCCGGACATTCGCTCCGCTGCGCAGCCCCCGCTCGCTCGGCTCCCCACTGCGCCGCGAGGGCGGCATCCCCGCGGCGCGTGGCCCACGTCGATGTCGATGCCCACTGCTGTCTTGACGGGCGTTGCAGTTCCTACTGCGCTCAGCACAGCACATCGATCCCCCTCCGCACCCCCCCGCCTCCCCTTTCCCGTCTTTCCCCCTCTCACCTGCCTCCCCCCCTCCTCTCCCCTATCCCCTCCCCTCTTCCCTCCCCCCCGCCTCCCCTCCGTCTCGTCCCCCCCCATCCTGCTCCCCGTCCTTTTCCTCCTCCCGTTCCCGGTCCCGGTCACCAATGGATGCGTTGTCTCCTTCCCCCATTTTCCCCATCCCACTGTCCCACTCCCCATCCCTCCTCCTCCCCCTCTATTCCCCTCTCATCCCTCCTCTCTCCAGCCTCCCTGCCTCCCTCCCCTCCTCCATCCTCCCCCTCCCCTCTTTCCTCTCCCGTTCCTCTCCCCATCCCCCCAATCCCTCTCGTTGATGCCAGGCCCATCCCGCTGCCGTTCCCGTCCTTTTCCTCCTCCAGGAAGGTGAAGAGAAGAAGAATCATGCGGTGGACGGGGGGAGATGGGCACAAGAGGAGGAGGAGGAGGAGGAGGAGGAGGAGGAGGAGGAGGAGGAGGCGGAGGCGGAGGCGGAGGCGGAGGCGGAGCAGGAGGCGGAGGAGGAGGAGGAGGAGGAGGAGGAGGAGGAGGAGGAGCAGGAAGAGGAGGAGGAGGACGAGGAGGAGGAGGAGGAGGAGGAGGAGGACGACGAGGAGGAGGAGGAGGAGGAACTCCTGACGGATGTGCCCTGCCCTCCCGAGGCTGCCACCAAGGTTCGCGAGCTCGAGAAGGCGGACTACCAGGAGACTCGCCAGGGGGTTGGGGGGGGGCTCGGAGGTGGAGGAGGAGGAAGAGGAGGAGGAGGAGGAGGAGGAGGAGGAGGGGGAGGCGGCGCCACGTCAGCCAGCTGCCGCTCCAGAGCAAGAGGGAAAGAACGGGAGAACGAGGGGGGGAAGGGAGGGCGCCTCCTCCTCCTCCTCTTAGAGTACGGCGGGTTGGGAGGATGGGGGGGGAGGGGGCGCTGCGGAAGCCATTCGCCGCCCCCTGGAGTCGGAGAGCGAGGATGAACGGAGGGAAGGGGGGACAGAGAAGGACGAGGTTGAGGGAGCAAGAACACAGGATGAGCTGATCGGGAAGCTGCCAGAGCTGGAGGTGGAGGGGGGAGGGTGAATTGGACGAGGCGGAAGAAGACGAGGAGGCGGAGGATGGTGCTGGGCATATCCCGTGGAGGAGTGGCGGGAAGTCGGAGGCTGGATGAGGCAGGATGCAGGAGGGAGGGATGATCGAGGGAGTAGACGTGATGGAGGATGGAGGAGTGGGATTGCGATGAGGAGGATGCGGACGAGGATGAGAATGATAATGAGGATGAATACGTAGCACTCCGCATGTGCGAATAAGAGTGAGGGGGCGGCGGAGTCGTCGGCAGTCTGCGAGGCTCCGAAGAAGCCCGCCGCAGGCGCCGAATTTTGTCTACAAACTATACGACGAGTCCGCCGCAGGCGCCGATTTGTTTGTCAAAGCATTGTAGGTGGTTCGCAGAGGACGAGTGGGTCGCGGGTGGGTCGCGGGTGGGTCGCGGGGTGGGTCGCGGGTGGGTTGCGGTCTGGGACGCGGGTGAGTCGCGGGTGGGTCGCGGATGGGTCGTAGGCCGGGTCGTGGGTGGGTCGCAAGTGGGTCGCGGGTGGGTCACGGGTGGGTCGCGGATGTCTCGCGGGTGGGTCGCGGGTGGGTTGCGGGCTGGGTCGCCGGTGGGTTGCAGGCGGGTCGCGGGTGGGACGACGACGACAACTACGCAACGACAACAGCAACAACAACAATCATTTTAATCTTGTTCGCTCCTGTCTGCTCACGTGCCAATCAATACGTATATCCCAAACCCTCGGTACCCGCCCTCGTCGTCTTCGATCGTATCCCCTTGGGGGTATATTTTCCTTACCTGCCACGTGTATTTACTGCAGTCCCTCAAACAAGAGAAGAGAGGACGGGTGTAAGGGGAGGAAGGATAATGGAACACGAGAGAAATTCTTTACGCTTCGCGTATCCCCACCAGCCCATCTCACAACAGCAACTCTTGCGAAGCATGCCGACAGTCGTGTTTTGCAGGCGTGTGTCCGCTTGGCCCCGCATATCTCCCCTGTTACTCCTTCCTCCCGCCTCCTTGTACATCCTCCTTGTGGGGGGAGCGGGAGAAGGACGAGGCGGAGGAGGAGGGAGAGAAAGCGCTCCTCGTGGTTTGAGTCGTTTGGGCTTTCTCGTCCTGGTGTGAGTCGTTCGGGCCCTTCTTCCTGGTGTGAGTCGTTCGGGCTCTTCGGTGGTGTGTGTGTGGTTCGGGCCCCTCGTCCTGTGAGTCGTTAGGGCTCCTCGTGGAGCTCTTGGGGGCCTCTTGGGGCCTCTTGGGGGCCTCTTGGGGGCCTCTTGGAGGCCTCTTGGGAGGCTCCTGGGGGCCTCTTGGGGCCATCTTGGGGCCTCTTGCGACCTCCTCAGAAGCGCAAATAAGCGCTGCCTCCTGAGAAGGACAAAATGAGCCCAAAACCTATGTAAAATCAATAATTTTGCTATGAAGGAAGATGAGCGCGGCCCCCTCAGGAGGCCAACATGGGGCCAAAACCCTAGTAAAATCAAGGATTTTGGCTTCAAAAAGAGGAGAGGGACTTATCTCCGTCCCCCCGTCGGGGCCAGACTCCTCGTGAGGGTCGTCGTTTTTTAGCCCTCCCAAGAGTCGTAAAAGACCCCTCCAACGACCCGCGAAACCCCCTCTCCAGGTCCAGGGGGAGGGGGTAGGGGGAGGGGTAAACCCCTCCCCGAAGGGGAAGAAGGGGGGTTGAGGACAGAGCGGGCTCTCTAAACCACTCACGCCCAAAGGGCTGGTGGGATTAGCAGGAGGGGAGCATGGAGCAGAAAGCAAGTGATAGAACTAGACGGGCAGATCGGGTGGGCAGACCCATAGCGGGCAGGTCGGGAAGGCAGGCCCAGGCGACGAGGTCGAGCAGGCGGGTTGCTGAAGCATAGGTCCTGCGTGAATCGCGGGGAAGTCTCGAGCGATGGCGCGATTCCCAAGTAAATCGTGAGAAAAGCCAGCGTGGGCCACGAAGGACGTAAAATCCGAGGCCACACAGCAGTGCAGCGACGAGGCCGCTGAGGGCAGCACCGGGGCCACGAAGGGCAGCGAGGGGGCTACAATGGGCGACAGCAGGGCCACGAAGGGCATGGCATGCATACGGGGCCACGACGGGCGCCAGCGAGCGGGGGCCACGAAGGGCATTCGTATACGGGGCCATCCCGTCCTTTAGCCTGACTCGGGGCATTCGTATACGGGGCCACAAAGGGCGACGGCGGGGCCACTGAGGGCAGCAAAGGGGCCACGAAGGGCAGCGAGAGGGCCACGAAGGGCGACAGCGGGGTTACGAAGGGCATGCGTATGGGGCCACGACGGGCGCGTGCGAGCGGGGGCCACGAAGGGCGTATAATGCGGGGCCACAAAAGGCAGCGACGGGGCCACCGAGGGCAGCAACGGGGCCACAAAGGGCAGCGAGCGAAGGCGACCGCGGAACCAGTACGGGCAGCGAGGGGCATCGAAGGCGGGCGAGGGGCAGCGAGCGGCGACTGCAGTCCCTGACGGGCTGGTCGGGCGGGCAGGCCCAGACGGGCGGGTCGAGCGGGCGGGTCGTTGAAGCGTAAATTCTGCTTGAACCGCCAGGCAATATGCAGCGGGAGCGCGATTCCTGAGTGTCGAGGAGCGGCATCTGAATAAATTGTAAGGAAATATCAAGCGGGAACCTCGATTCGGTGGTAAGTTGCGAGGAAGTCCCAAGCGAGAGCGCGATTCTTTCATACATTGTGAGGAAGTATCAAACGGGAGCCGCGATCCGGTGGTAAATTGCGAGGACGTCCCAGGCGAGAACGCGATTCTTCAATACATTGTGAGGAAGTATCAGGCGGGAGCCGTTGTTGTTGTAAGCCGGGGGCCAACGACACAGTTTGACTTTCAAGATTTTCTTTGATAAAAAACAGGGTGCGAGCCCCGGGAAGGGCACTTCAATCGAAGAAACAATGTGCACCAGACGGGGGGATCAACAATCATTATTCTTCAGAAATGAGAACTCATCACCAACAACAACACCAACACCGACAACGACAACGACATCGACAACGACAACAGCAACAACAACGCCAATCATTTTCATACTGTTCACTCGTATCTGCTCGAGTGTCATTCATCGCGTATTTCCCAGACCCTCGATGCCCGCCCCTATCATTTTCGATCATACCCCTTTTGGGTCGTAAATCGTTTTTCCCTGCAGGCCGGGCCCTGGCAAGCGGCGGGGCGGCCGCGGACCGTCGGCCTGGCCAGCGGCAGCGCTGATCGGCGGCAGCCCGACCCCAAGAGGGACGGACAGGGGACCGACCACGACGACGACACCGACGGCGACGACGACGACGAGCAAAAGCGAGAGCGAGAGCGAGAGCGAGAGCGAGAGCGACAGCGGGTCCACGAAGGGCAGGAAAGAGGGGCACCGAAGGGCGACAGCGGGGCAACGAAAGGCATGCGTAAGGCGCGAACGAGCGGGGGCCGCGAAGGGCAGATAATGCGGGGCCACAGAAGGCAACGACGGAGCAACTAAGGGTAGCAACGGGGCCTCGAAGCGCATGCAGATGGGGGCCACGACGGGTGCGAGCGAGCGGGGGCCACGAAGGGCATGCGTATGGGGCCACGAGGGGCAGCGAGGGGACCAGGGAGGGCAGCAATGGCGCCACGAACAGCAGCTACGGTGCCACGAAAGGGGAGCAACGGGGCCACGAAGGGCAGCGAGGGGCCGCGAAGAGCTAGCTGCAACGGGGCCACGAAGGGCAGCGAGGAGGCCACGAAGGGTTGCGACGGGGCCGCGAAGGGCAGCGAGGGGGCCACGAAGGGCTGCAACGTGGCCACGAAGGGCAGCGAAGGGGCCACGAAGAGCAGCGAGGGGTCCACGAAGGGCAGCGAGGGGGCCACGAAGGACTGCAACGTGGCCACGAGGGGCAGCGAGGGGGCCACGAAGGGCTGCAACGGGCCCACGAGGGGCAGCGAGGGGGCCACGAAAGGCTGCAACGGGGCCAAGAAGGGCAGCGATATCCCGATTCGTAACTAAGCTATAGTAAACGGTGAGGGAGTCCTAATGTGATCGCGACTCCTGGCTGCCTGAGTGTCGGGAGCGCGGCGCTAGAGTAGATTGTAGGAAATTCCAGCGCAAGAGCGCGCTTCTTTAGTAAAGTGCAAGCAAGTCTCCAGCCAGAGCGCGACTCCAGAGCGCCGAGAGAGCGATGCTTGAAAACATCGCAAGGAAGTCCCAAGCGGGAGCGCGATTTTTCAGTAAAATGCGAGGAAGTCTCAAGCGGGAGCGGGGGTATTGGCTAAATTCGGAGGACTTCTCAGGCGGGAGCCGTTGTTCTTGTAATCAGGGCACCAACAACGCAGTTTGAGCCGAGTGATTGTCCCTGATAATAAAACACGCTTCAATTGAAAAACGCAATGGTCACGGGAGGGAGGACCAACAACACTTCTTCTTCCGTAGCGAGAGTTCGGCAACAACGATAACAACACCAACGGCATCAGCATCACAAGCGCAACAGCAACAGCACCAACAAACACAACAACCACAATAACACAACAACCCAATACGGCCAATCACACCAACAACAAAAACAGCAACACCAACAACAACACCAACACCAACAACAGCAACACCAACCACCAAAACTACAACACCAACAACAACACCAACAGCAACGACACTAACAACACCAACACCGCAGATTCCGCGCCGCGGAGTCCCACCAGGAACGCATCCAGGGACAGTGAATGACTGTTCGGCCCCCTCGTTCTGATGATCTGGAGTATGAGGACGAGGCAGATGTAGCTGATGATGTTGATAAGGATGGTGTTCGGAACGGGATTGATGACGATGGTGATGCTGATGTTGATGAGGATGATGCTGGCGATGGTGATTGTGAAGGTAATGGTGGTGATGATGGTGATGATGATGGCTGTGATGAGGATGAGGATGATGTTGATGCTGATGATGGTGCTGGTGTTTTTGCTGCTGCTGCTGGTGATGATGATGCTGCTGATGCTGCGGATGCTGATGATGATTGTGGTGGTGGTGGCGATGGTGATGATGTTGTTGATGTTGGTTGTGAGTTTGATGTTGGTGATGATGACGACGACGACGACGATGATGATGATGATGATGATGATGATTATGATGATAAAGTTGATGCTTCGGATGATGATGAAAGTGAGCATTCTGATGACGATGGTGATAATGATGATAATATCGATGATGATGGTGACTGCGATGGCCATAGTGATTGTGATAGTCAAGAAGTGGTGGTAATGATGATAAGGTGGAGAGAAGAGGAGATGTGAGAGACAACATGAGCACGCGCACCTGTTTGGCGCCAGGGTCTACTCCCAAAAGCAGGCGCTGAGCAGGTTGGCTGGGTGGGGATAGCCTCCGTTACCCTGAGTGTGACTCCTGTCAGCGGCGAAGCGGTGTTTGGCGCTGCTCGCGTGTTGCGCGTGAGCCTTGGGTGTGATCCTTGTGGGGTAGGGGGGGATGAGGAGGAGGCGGAGGACGAGGAGGAGGAGGAGGAGGACGAAGAGGAGGACGAGGACGAGGAGGAGGATGAGGAGGAGGAAGGAAGGGGGGGAGATGAGAGGAAGGGACGCGGCGGAGGGGACGTGCACGAGGAGGAGGGTGGGTAGGAGCAGAAGGTAGAGGAGGAGGAGAAGGGGGGAGGGAGGATGAGCAGGTAGAGGAGGAGAGGGACCGGAGGAGGAGCAGGCGGAGGAGGTGGAGGACGATCAGGAAGAGGAGGAAGGGTTGGTTGACGAGGAGAAGGATTACGAGTGATCGATTGTGGCACCTGCCGAGGTGCGGCCAGCCCCCCCCCGCCATGCCAGGCCCTGCACACGGACTATTCCGAGTCGGTGGACGCCCTGCAGGCCAGGCGTCCCCGCCACCGTCGCTCGATCCCCCTCGCCGTTTTCCTCCTTCACCCACCTCTGTGTCGTCGTCCTCGTCCTCCTCCTCTTCGTCCTTTCTCCCTCTTAGCCCTCCTCTTCCGCCACACTCCTTGTCCTCCTCCTTCGCCCTCCTCGACCTCCGCCCTGTCTCTTTTTCTTCTTCATCATCTGAAGCTATTTTCCCTTCTCCTTCCTCCTCCTCCTCCTCCTCCTCCTCCATGGAGGAATAAGAGAATCCCTGTATCCCCCTGGAACGCCGTACCTATCCTTCCTCTTCTTGATCCCCCGCCCTCCTGCTCCACCTCCTCCTCCGAGGAGGAGGAGTAGGCAGTGGAGTAGGCAGAGGAGGGGCGAGAACGGGAGAAGGAGAGAACAACGATGGAGGCGGAACAGCAGGAAAACCCTGTAAGCTTTCCAAACGCCCTCTCCCGCCCTCCTCCGCCCCATTTGCCTCGCCCCTCCCTGAGCAGGCAGAGGTGGGGTGGCGGAGGATAATTGGGAAAGGAGGAGGGGCTGCGGTGCATGGGCGTGGCGGGAGAGGCCCTTGCGTAGCGTCTGCGCTCGGGGCAGCAGCGGCGACGACGACGACGACGACGATGATGATGATGATGATAATGATGCTAGATGCTAGATGCTAGATGCTAGATGCTGGATGCTGGATGCTGGATGCTGGATGCTGATGCTGATGCTGATGCTGATGCTGACGACGATGACGATGACGAGGATGTTGATGATGGTGGTGATGGCTGATGATGCTGCTGATGATGATGACAATGATGATGGTGGTGGTGGTGGTGATGATGGTGATGATTATGATGCTGATGATGATGCCATGCTGATAATGCTGATGGTGTTGATACTGGTTGTGGTGGTGGTGAGGCTGACGACGACGACTATGATGATGATAATGAGGATGATGATGACGATGATGATGATCATGATGATGGTGATGCTGACGAGGATGATGATGCTGACGAGGATGATGGTGCTGATGATGCTGACGAGGATGATGCTGACGAGGAGGATGAGGATGAGGATGATGCTGACGAGGATGATGACGATGATGCTGATGCTGATGATGATAGTGATGATGATGATAGTGATGATTATGTTGATGATGATGACGATGATGCTGATGATGATGATGGTGATGCTGCTGATGATGATGCTGCTGCTGATTATGTTGATGATGATGACGACGATGACGACGATATCGATGACGATGACGATGCGGATGATTCCGATGCTGCTGCTGATGCTGATGTTGTTGCTGATGCTGATGTTGATGATGATGACGATGGTAAACGATGACGACGAAGGCGACGACAGTGACTATGACGACGATGATGATGATGATGATGAGTATGCTGATGCTGATGATGATGATGATGTTGCTGATGAGGATGAGGATGGTAAGGATGGTAACGATGGCGATGATGCTAATGATGTTGCTGATGTTGCTGATATTGATGCTGTAGATGGCGATGGTGCTCATGCGTGTGATATTGATGCTGCTGCTGATGGTGGTGTATATGATGATGATGATGATGATGATGATGATGATGATGATGATGATGATGATGATGATGATGATGATGATGACGATGACGATGACGATGATGGTGGTGATGATGATGATACTAATGCTGATGCTGATGATGCTGCTTCAGTCGAGGATGCTACCGATGACGACCATAACGATGGCGATGCTGACGAGTATGATGCTGATAATGATGGTGATGATGCTGCTGATGTTGATGCTGAGGATGCTGATTATTGTGATGATGATGTTGCTGATGATGCTGATGATGCTGATGCTGATGTTGATGATGGTGGTGGTGGTAATGCTTATGATGGTGATGATGCTGATGCTGATGATGAGTATGATGCATTTGGTGATGGTGGTGATGCTTGCAACGTCGGCGATGGAGGTGGGGATGAGGCTGAGGATGCCATGATGATAGCGATGATGATGAGGGCTGTTCTGATTGTGATGATGATGGTGCTGATGCTGATGCTGATCATGCTGGTGATGCTGCCGAGGCTGATTATGCCGACGATGGCGACGATGCCCATGACGATGATGAGGAGGAGAATGACGATGCTGATGCTGATGCTGATAATGACGATGATACTGATGAGTGCGACGATGATGCCGATGATGATGCTGATGCTGATGATGATGATGATGATTATGATGCGGATGCTGATGCTGGTGCTAATGCCCATGCACATGTTTATGTTCCTGCTCATGATGCTGATGATGCTGCGGCTGACGATGCTGCGGATGATGCTACTGCTGATGATGATGACGACGACGACGATGACGATGTTGATGATGATGACGATGATGCTGCTGCTGACGCTGCTGCAGATGCTGTTGATGATGGTGGCGACGATGTCGATGATTGTGATGATGACAATGGTGATATTGCTGGTGCTGATGCTGATGATAATGCTGATGCTGGTGCTGGTGCTGATGCTGATGATGCTGCTATGCTTGTGCTTCTGGTGATGCTGCTGACGCTGCTGCTGATGCTGATGATGAGGCTGATGACGACGAGGATGATGCTGCTGGTGATGGTGACGAGGTTGGTGATGGTGATGATGCTGGTGCTGATGCTGATGCTGATGACGACGATGATGCCAAAGGGGGTGATGATGACGATGATGACGATGATGATGATGGTGGTAGTTGTGGTGATTATGCAGATGATGATGCTGATGGTGGTGCTGATGATGCTGATGGTGTTGATGATGGTACTGTTGCTGATGATGACGATGATGATGAGGATGATGATGATGTGGATGAGGATGGCGATGATAAAGCCGATGATTACGAGGTCGATGACGAAGGCGATGACGATGGCGATGATGTTGATGATGCTGCTGCTGTTGGTGATGCTGATGGCGACGACGACGCAGGCGATGAAGACGAGGATGATGGAGAGGATCATGATGATTTTTCTGACGATGGTGATGATGATGATCATGATCATGATCATAGTTATCGTGGTGATGGTGATGCTGAAGATGGTGGTGTTGGTGGTTATGACGGTGGTAATCATAATGATGACGAGCATGCTGATGATGATGAATGATGACGATGCTGATGAGGAGCAGGAGGATGATGCGGATGATGACGAGGATGAGGATGATGATGCTGATGAGGATGAGGATGAGGATGAAGATGCTGATGGTGGTAGTTGTGGTGATGAGGCAGATGATGATGCTGATGCTGGTGCTGATGATGCTGATGGTGTTGATGATGGCGCTGATGCTGATGCTGACGATGATGTTGAGGATGATGATACTGACGATCAGGATGACGATGATAAGGCTGATGATTATGAGGTCGATGACGATGACGATTACGATGATGCTGATAAGGTTGCTGCTGCTGGTGATGATGATAGCGACGACGACGGCGATGACGATGAAGATGAGGACGCTGATGCGGATCGTGATGATTCTGCCGACGATGATGTTGATGATGATGCCGCTCCTGATGATGATGACGGTTATGGTGGTGGTGGTGGTGATGTTGAAGATGGTGGTGTTGGTGATAATGGTGATGAGTACGATGATGGCGAGTATGATGATTTTCATTCAGCGCCGTGGGCCCCTATGTGTGTCGTGTCTTTGTGAGGTGCTCCCGCGAAACTTCTGCCGAGGAATCGTTATCCGTCACTCTGATATACACTGACATCGGAAAGAGGCGGCGTGCGGTGACTTCGATCGAGACGACCAGCGAAGAACGCAGGGCAAGGGGGCCGCACCTAAGGCCGACGTGGCCCACGGTTGGCCCCGCCGACCGACTCGAGAGCTACGGCCGACTGGAGGAAACGAATCAGTGCCTCGTACGTTTCAACATCGAGCGCAACCTTTCACTACCCATTAAAGTGTTCCAGCGAGAACTGCCCCGCTCTACCCCGAGAGAAATCAAAAGAGCCTGAGGAGTCGTAGGTTCCCTGGGGGGCCTCCGCAACTGTCGCGGTGAGCTCAGAAATCACCTGGGTTCCCAACGCATACGAGGAAGAAGAGGACGAGGCGAGGACCGAGGAGCCACAGCGGGACGCGGCACGACGCAGGTCAGGAGAAGTCCCAGGCAGCCCCGAGGTCAGAGGAGGAGAGGGGAGAGAACTATTCTCAGACGAAACACTCAGCACTACGGCGGGGTTGCCGACAGGCAAAGCTACAGCAAGGTCGCTTGCGGCGACAGGCTCCGGTACCAGTTCAAGTACCACAGCAGGCTCACGTGGCAGCTCAGGTACATCAGCAGGCTCACGGACCCGCACAGCTACATCAGCAGGCTCCCGTACCAGCTCAGGTACATCAGCAGCAGGCTCGCGTACGCTCTCAGGTACATCAGCAGGCTCACGAGCGCGAGCTCGTCGAGCTCTCAGCTGCCCACCAGCTGCGCGACGTACTCCTGAAGCTCCCGCTCCATGAACGACGCTGGAGCCTTCCCCTGCTTGCGCTCCATCCCCGCCTGAACGCAGCACGCGATCACCGTCTGGCGCCAACGTTCGTCTCGCAGCACGAATGTGATCCGCTTCTTCTCTTTGTCGTACGTCTTGTCCAGACGGCACATCCGTATCATCTCCATCTTGTCTTCCACGCCATGCGCGTCGAGCCATTCCATCATGTCCTGAAGCGCCTTCGCGTCCTGGGCCCCCACTGCTTCTCCACGTTCTCGAAGCCCCGCCTGCAGGCCCGCGAACGCCCATATGTAAGGTGCTCCGTGAGGGTGACCTTTCCCGTCACGCTTCACCGCCTCCGCGTAGTTGTGGGTCTGCTCCGCCATCTTCAGCGCTTCCTCCCCGTCCGCAGTGCAGAGAAACGTGTCGAATAGGCACCCTCCGAGTTCTCGCATCCCTTGCGCCACCCTCAGGGGCTGCTTGACCACCACGAGCAGGAACCGACGTAGCCCTTGGTCGCTGACGCTTTTGAGCTTCTTGTCCTTCTCGCCGTCCGTGCGAGCCTTGACGCGGCGGGGGTCGGCGCCTCCATCCTTCTTGTCGTCCGCGGCGACCTGCAGCAGCGCGGGCATGGCGAAGCGGATGTCGCTCCACGAGGCGCGGGGCAGGCCGAGGCAAATGTTCTTCGCGAGCGTGTGTGTGTGTGTGTGTGTGTAGTAGTCAGGTAAGTGGTATAACTCGAGCCCACATATTTTACATATAATCTCAGAGGGAGCCTGCAACTCCCCATGCTTGGTGGCCCCCTCGAGGCCGACACCTCCCAAGACTCCAAGACGCTTGCACATGCTGTTTTGCACTATATTTTGAAGCAAACAAACTGCCACAGTTCAGGCACTGGTTCGCAATCACGCGGCATCTAAGCGGGCACAGAACGCCGTGAGACCCACCGCGGGCCTTAGTCATATGCGCCACCAACTTCTTCAAGGAGTCAAAGCACAGGCCGCAAACAGCGCCCTGCGAGTCAATCAGGCCGCACACGAACTCCCCCTCAGGTTCCTCCGTCTCCTTGGCTGTGGGGGCCAGCTTCTCCCACAACCGATCTTCCCTCATGAGTGACACCTCCAGCAGCAGGAAGAGGCGGCGGAGGAGGAGGATGAGGAGGAGCAGGAGGAGGAGGAGAGAGAGGAGGAGGAAAATCAGAAGGAGGAGGAGGAGGGGGGGATGGGGGAGGGGAGGGGGAGGAGGAGGAGGAGGAGGAGGAGGAGAAGGAGGAGGAGGAAGAGGAGGAGGAGAGGAAGACGGACTACTACCAACAAGCCAGTTCATACTATGAAGAATAAGCCATCGAAACCTGCCACTAATGGTGGTAACCCCGCTACTGCTACTGGTAGTAGTAACACTTTTCGTAGTGTTAATACGAATGCCCATACCAATACTAATACTAACACGAAGCATAACGCTAATGATATTAGTAATCCGAATCAGAAGACCACGCATCATACTAATACGAACAATATAAGGGAGACACATGAGACGGCCACGAATCATACTACTACGAAGATGGAGATGCGGAGGAGGAGGAGGAACAGGAGGAGGAGAAGCATCCGAAGGAGGGGGAGGAGGGGGAAGTGGACGAGGAAGAGGAGGAGGCGGAGGAGGAGACAGAACAACAGGAGGGGAAGGAGGAACAGGAAGATGATGATGAGGAGAAGGAGGAGAAGGAGGAGGAGGAGGAGGACGGAGGACGGAGAGTAGGAGGGGGAGGCGGAGGAGCAGGAAGACCTGGAGGACGAGGAAGAGGACGAAGAGGAGGAGGAAGAGGAGCAGGAGGACGAGGAACAGGAGGACGAGGAGGACGAGGAGGAGGAGGAGGAGGACCTGGAGGACCTAGACGACGCTGCGGACGAGGAGGAGGAGGAGACGAGGAAGAGGAGGAGGGAGGAGAAGAGGATGCGGAAGAGGATGAGGAGGGCGGGTGGGAGGAAGGATGGAGGAGGGGGAGACGGAGGAGGAGGAGGAGGAGGAGGAGGAGGTGGTGGAGGAGGAGGAGGAGGAGGAGGAGGCGGAGGAGCGGAGGAGGCGGAGGAGGAGGAGGAGGGGTGGAGAAGGCGGAGGAGGAGGAGGGATGGGGAGGATGACGCGAGGAAGAAGAGGAAGAGAAGGAGGAGGAAGAAAGAGGAGGGGGAAGGACTTGGAGTTGGAGGTGGAGGAGGAGGAGGACGAGAGATGGAGGCGGCGGAGGAGGAGGAGGAAGAGGAGGCGGAGGAGGAAGATGAACGACGAGAGGAGGAGGAGGATGGAGCAGGAGGAGGAGGAGGAGTATGGAGATTGTATGTAATGTCGTAGCGGGGGAAGGAGGCCGGAGGAGGAGGTTCAGGATGATGACCAGGAGGAGGAGGCGGAGGAGGAGGAAGAGGCGGAGGAGGAGGAGGAGGAGGAGGAGTTGGAAGAGTAGGAGGGGGAAGCATGTGGCGGAGGTAGGGGTAGGGGGAGGGGGGGAAGTAGTGAGGAGGAGGATGAGGCGGAGGAGGAAGAGGAGGAAGAGGAGGAGGAGGAGGAGCAGGAGGAGGAGGAGGGGGAGTAGGAGGATGAGGAGGATGAGAAGGAAAAGGAGGAGGGGAGAGGAGGAGGATAAGGGGAGCACGGAAAGGAGGGGAGGGAATAGGGTGATGGGGAGGAGGAGGAGGAGGGACGGAGGAGGAGGAAGGAGGAGGAGGGGAGATGTAGGAGGAGGAGGAGGACAGGAGAAAGCGGAGGAGGAAAGAGGCGGAGGCCGAGGAGGAGGAGAGTGGAGGAGGCGGGAGGAGGAGGAGGAGGAGGAGGAGCGAGGAGGCGGAGGAGGAGCGAGGAGAGAGGAGGAGGAGGAGAAGAAGGAAGAGGAGGAGAGGAGGAGGAGGAGGAGGAGGAGGAAGAGGAGGACGGAGGAGGAGGAGGAGGAGGAGGAGGAGCGGGGAGGGCCCGCCTGCCGCAGCGTGCGATCGCGTACCTGAAGACGAAGTCCAGGACGGTGAAGCAGGCCAGCCTTGCGCAGGTGAAAGCGATCAAGGACACCACCCTGTTGCGCGCCCACCGGTGGAGGAAGGGAGGAGGCGGAGGAAGAGGAGGAGGAGGATGAGGCGGAGGAGGAAGAGGAGGAGGAGGAGGAGGAGGAGGAGGAGGAGGAGGAGGAGGAGGGGTCGGAGGAAGAGGAGGAGGAGGAGAGGATAGAGAGGAGGAGGAGGGGGAGGAGGAGGAAGAGGAGGAGGGAGGAGGAGGAAGAGGAAGAGAATGAGGAGGAGGAGGAGAAGGAGGAGGAGGAGGAGGAGGAGGAGGGTGAGGAGGACGAGGAGGTGAGGACATTCGAGCGGTGCCGAGGAAGTGAGAGCATGGATCAAGGCGTGGGGATTGGAAGAGGGTCCCGCTCCCACGCCAGATCGACGCGCTCCGTCGCCAGACCGGGCGGCACTGGCCCCATGGCTCGGGGTACCCTCGGCGTCACCCCAACATACTTATACTATATGTGCGTCGCCCCCCCAGGGGAGACGCGCGCAACGAGAAATCTTATGGTATATGTGTCGTGGCGGGCGCTTTCT